TTTGCCATTCTGGTGTGTATGAAATAGTATCTCATTGAATTTAATTTGTACTTTCTTGGCTGTTTAGTGAAGTTAATGTATTTCTTCTTAATTTTCTATCATAGCACCCTATTTCTTTCTTTCATAGCACTTATCACAAGCCATTATTTTGAGGTGGTTTGTTTTTTTTTGTTTTTTTTCTTTTTTTTGAGACAGACTTTTGTTCTGTTGCCTGGGCTAGAGTGCCGTGGCGTCAGGCTAGCTGACAGCAACCTCAAACTCGAGGGCTCAAGAAATCCTCCTGCCTGAGCCTCCCGAGTAGCTGGGACTACAGGCATGCGCCACCATGCCCGGCTAAGTTTTTCTATATATTTTCAGTTGTCCAGCTAATTTCTTTATATTTTTAGTAGAGCCGGGGTCTCACTCTTGCTCAGGCTGGTCTTGAACTCCTGACCTTGAGCGATCCTCCCACCTTGGCCTCCCAGAGTGCTAGGATTACAGGCGTGAGCCACTGTGCCCGGCCAAGTTGGTTTATTTATATGTTTATTGTCGGCCTCCCTATCTAGAACATAACCTCTGTTAAGGCTGGGGTCACATCTCTCTGGTTTACTGTTTTATCCCCAGGCTCAGTGCAGGGGATAAAACTCAGTGGTCTGGCATGTAATAGGTGTTCAGTAAATAGATGTTGAATGAATGAAGCAAGGGGGTGGGTCTCTTAATGAATGAGTCTAACATTACTATAGGAGAAACATCCGTACAGTGATAGGGTACTCCTCCTATCCAAACCTTATACTTTATTCCATACCTACTTCACAGTACTTGATTCTGATCTTCATTTCTTCCCTTTTTCCAGCCTTTGAATAAGCTTGAATGGGAGGTAGTAGTAATAGATGATAACAGAAATACTGAGTCACACATTTGTTTGATTTGACACCAATATCCATCTGCTCCAGCCTGGGGCCTGTGAATTGAGATATACTGGTGTCCAACTTGCCTAAGATTGTCTCCTGGGTCCCACATCAGAGAAGAAACTAAAACTCTGATGAGGTTCATTATTAGGTAGGTAATCAAGTTGGAAGCCCTTTGCCTTTGTTGGGATTCTTACTGACAAAGAGTTGATCTTGTCTTATCTAATATAAGACTTTGTAAGATAGGTACAGCCTTCATCAGCAGAAATTTCCTAGGGTAGGTGTGGTAATTTTTTTATTTTTGAGAAATATAAAAGTTGTAGAAAACAAGGATAAATCTCAGTTAACTTTTCTACAGTCCCTATCTTTTCTCCTCCATTGTTCTTAATGCTGCAGCCACTCCCAAGCTCTGACTGCGTCCTCTTTCGGCTTATTCAGTTCCTGAGCTCTACTCTGACTATATCTAAACTTTACTCATTGCCTTGGCTAGGATCCTTTGGGGTGTAGGGAACAAACCACCCAATATAGCTTAAACCCCAGGCAAACCAGGGATGTCTCAGAACTTAAGAGCATACACAGCTAGAACCAGGAATTAGAGTAGTGGAAATGTCTACTGAAAGCTCCAAGCTTCTGTTTTCAAAAGAAGAACCAAGCTTAGGATGGACTCTTTTAGTACCAATTACAGATTGCTGGGGAGGGATGAGCAAGATGCCTACCTGACTCCAATAAGCTGTGGCTGTAAGTTATATTCTACAGACATGGTGGCCAAGAGCTACTGTTGGCTGTCAGGAAAGAAGAGAAATCCGAGGCAGAGACACTCATAGGTGTCTACTGAAATTATCAGTAGCTGAAAATGTGTTTATGAGCTCTGAAGCCTCTGACTTATACCCAGCAACTCTTCATGTCTCTGCTTCCTTAACTTTTCTTCCCTCAAGTCTTAACTGACTGCTTAACCCACCTTACTGATCTCCTTTCCTTAGCCAGTTGCAAATGTATTTTCAAGAGATCCCTGACTTCCTGGACTCTTAAGTGAGCTTTGGGGATGACAAGGTGTGCTTTTCTCCCTATCTA